TTTCACGCAAAAAATGTTAAATATGCGACAGAGAATATTGTTAGAATCGTTGAAAGAGTGACCATCAATTATCACCCAGGTAAAGCGAATAGAGTTGCTGATGCTCTAAGTAGAAAGATGTTTGGGAACATGGCTGCGATGATTACTTCTCAAAGACAGATTTTGGAAGACTTACAGAGGATGGATATTGGTGTACGTATGCAAGGTTCTGGAGCATTATTGGCTAACATACGAGTACAGCCAACTTTAATTCACAAGATTAAGACAACCCAAGCATATGATCTTCGACTTCAGCCCATTAAACGTGAGGTTGAATCTAGTTTGAAACCAGACTTTAGGATTCATGATGATGGCTCTTTAAGGTTTGGTGATAGAATTTGTGTTCCTAATGATGTAGAATTGAAAAGAGAAATTTTGGAGAAAGCTCACTATAGTAATTATACAATCCATCCTCGTGGTACCAAGATGTATAGAGATTTGAAGAACACTATTTGGTGGAACAATATGAAGAAGGAGATTGCACAATTTGTAGCCAAATATTTGACATGTCAACAAGTCAAGGCTGAACATCAAAGGCCAGCAGGGTTGTTGCAACCCCTCCCGATTTCATAATGGAAATGGGAACGAATTACTATGGACTTTATATTTGGTTTACCGAGAACCTTGAAAAGTAATGATGGCATCTGGGTAATTATTAATAGATTAGCAAAGTTTGCTCACTTTTTGGCTATTTGTATGGGAATGATGTTGGAAAAGTTAACGGAGTTATATGTGGAGCAGATTATGAGAATGCATAGGGTGCTAGTGTCCGAGATTCTCGATTTATGGTGAAATTTTAGGAAAGTCTGCATAAAGCTTTGGGTACCAGACTTAATTTTAGTACTGCTTTTCATCCTTAAACAGATGGTCAATCCAAGAAAATTAATCAAATCCTTGAGGACATGTTGAGAGCTTGTGTCATGGATTTTGAGGATTCTTGGGATCAACACTTGTCATGGGCGAAATTTGCTTATAATAATAGCTATCAATCTAGTATCCAAATGGCTCCATTCAAAGCTCTGTATGGTAGGAAGTGCAGGTCACCTCTTTGTTGGGATGATGTGGGTGAAAGATAGTTATTGGGTCCAGATCTTATTCAACAAGCAGTTGAAAAGGTACAGTTAATTAGGTAACATTTTCGTACTACTCAAAGTAGATAGAAAAGTTATGCAAACAATAGAAAATGGAAGTTAGAATTTGAGGTTGGAGATCATATCTTCCTGCGAGTTTCACCTACTAGAGGAGTAGTGCAATTTGGGATTCGAGGAAAACTTAGTCCTTGTTATGTGGACAGGGTTGGTGATGTGGCCTACAGATTGGCACTTCCACCTACTCTATCAGGAGTGCATAACGTGTTTGATGTTTCTTTGTTGAGAAAATATGTTCTAGATCCTAGTCATGTGATAGAGTTAGCTCATTTGAGACTTAGAGAAGTTTTGTCCTATGATGAGTGCCCTATACGTATTGTAGATAGAAAGAATCATCTTCTAAGAAGGTGGACTATTCATTATGTTAAGGTCCAATGGAGTAATCATATAGAACGAGAAGCAACTTGAGAATTGAAAGAAAATATCAAAAAGAAGTATCCCCTCCTTTTTGAGGACCAAGATAAATGTTTATAGGACTAAACTCCTTTTAAGGTGGGGAGGATGTAATGCCCATCACAAAATATATATTATAAAAACATTTAGATTATTTAAGCTATAGTTTGATAAATAAGTAGATATTGTTTTAGTATTTTATTTATTTACAGTTATGACCTTGGGTGCCTAAATAATTAAAAAATAGAAGAATGGGTCTTTAAGTCAATAAAGAAGTTTAATTAAAGTTAGTTTATTTATCATGTTTAAGTTAGTGCGTTTAAAGTCAATTTTATTATCACGTATAAGTTAGTGGGGTTAGGTTTTAAAAAAACAGATAGGAAATTCACGTCAGTGTATTCCACAGACTCAAACAATAGGCAGTCAAAAGAGCATAACACTAGGGAAGAAGAAACACAGAGGAAAGGGAAATTATTCAAGAAAGTGCTGATTAAGGAATGTTTAAGGTTAAAAAATCCTAAATTATTTATACTTTCTTAAATTTTATTCAAAACCTGATACTTCTCTGATGACTTTTTGGTGGCATGACAGGTACCAATGTAAAGGTCTTAAAAAGATCTCTCCAATGATTTTTGTACTATCTCGTTTGGTTTTGTAGTTTGGAAGTTATGAATTTTTAAAATTAATTGAAAACCTGATTTTTGACAGTTTTGATAAGCCAATTTTGGGTCACCAGAACTCTATAATCTAGTAATATTTTTGGTTATTTTTTTTAGGGTCACGTGGTTTAAACCCAAAAAATTACTGGGTTAGTGATTAGACTTGGATCGTTACAAATGGTATCAGAGTCTGCGTTAGTCCGATGTGAATTTTTACATTACTCTGGTGAGATCTTGGTCTTGTAAATATAATGTGTGACTTTTATGAGGACATCAAAGATTTAAGTGGGTGGGATGATGATACCCAACATCTCACATTTGACGTGAATGTGATTGTTAAAACCTATATAATAATTCAAGTCTACTACTACTAGCAACTTGAACTTAAGCTTTTGAGGACCATATGGTTTATGCCCAAAAAACTTCTAGGCCAATGGTTGGACTTGGGTCGTTATAAATGGTATCAGAGCCTGCGTCAGTCCGATGTGGGCTTTCATATTGCTATGGTGAGATCTTGGTTATGTGATATGATGTGTGATCTTTATGAGGACATCAAAGATTTGAGTGGGTGGGATTGTGATACCCAACATCCTACATCTGATGTGAATGTGATTGTTAAGACCTATATAACAATCCAAGTCTATCACTACTAACAACATGAGTTTAAGTTTTTGAGGGCCACGTGGTTTAGGCTCAGAAAGTTACTGAGCTAGTGGTTGGACTTAGGTCGTTACATTTATACCTTAATTCGGCTCTTTTATCTCTGTCATCAGTTTGTCTATGTTTCAGTCCAAAACAGTGTTCATAAATGGCATGAAAATGAGTCTTCTGTTCTATTTTATCTGTTTTTTGTTTATTAATTACGTGCTGATTTTAAAATATCTGTTTAATAGTTTAATATGTATCAAATTAAAATTAAAAAAAGAGTAAATTAGTGGGACGGTTATTAAACTTTCACAAAGTTTATGTTTTGGTTATTGAATTTTAATGTCCTAAATAGGTCACTAAATGTGCCAATTCTACCAGGTTTTAGATTATCTTAATTAACAAATTTTATTCAATTAAGTGATAGAAAAATGATGTGGCTGTCACATAAATCGCTGTAATAATTGTAATTCGTATCATTTTTTTCTTTTTTTTTCTACGAAATATAATTTTGATTTTTTTAATAAAAGTGATTCTGAAAAGGCTAAAATTTTTTATTGTGATTTATGTGATAACCATGCCATTTATCCAACACTATCAATTTTGATATTGTTGGCAAACTTTAGCGATTTAATTGGATAAATAATAATTTAGTGACAAAAATAAGAATTTATCAACCTTTAATGTTCATTTCGTTTAATTTACTCTACTATCGTAAATTATAAAAGTGATAAAGAGGTGATTTTTTATTGAGTCGAAGAATTTCATAAAAAGGATTAATTGAATAATATGAGAAGTAAGGTTAATATCTTTTGGCCTAGAGAATAATGCCTCTTTTCCTGCCCTATCTCTAAGAGTATGTTTGGTTCGTGGAAGAAATAGAAAGGGAATAGAATGACTATTTTGTGAGAATGGAATAAATATTATGTAGCTTGGTTCATGGAATGGAATATGGTAAAAATAGTTATTATGATTTATTCCAATGTTTGGTTGGTAAAAGTAATTTTGTACAATAGTATTTTTTTTTCTATTCCCACAAATGTGGAATAGCCATTACCAAGGTTCCTCTTGCTAATGGCCATTCTGGTTTCTCAAGGAATGACCATTCTCTAGAATAGCCATTCTTATGAACCAAGTGCAAGAATAACAAAGTAATAGGAATAAGAAGGAATAGTTATTCCATTCCTTCCAACCAAATGTGCTGTAGAATCATGCCATATGTCTAAAATTTTAAAATCTCATAAAATCCTAATATGGCAAAGGTAATGTCTCTTCTTTGTTAATAGTAGTCCTCCTATTTACAAAGCTCCTCTCCTTGGCCTTTGAGAAACTTTACAAATTTATCCATCCATTTACTAATATATTCTTTTTCTCATTCATCTTTATCATCATCATCATCATCTTTGGCTAGTTCTTCATCCAACAATAACAATGGCAATGAGACTGGCAGTGCAAGTGGAAGCACAAGCAACGAAAAATAAGAAGAAAATGGAGAAAAAGTAGCCGATGTTAATACTAATAATTATGATTACAATAATAATAGTGAAAAAGGTATATTATGGGTATGAAGAAGAAGAAATATATCTTTTTGGGTTTGATAATGAAGATTAGTGTAAAACCCCTACAACAAGCCGTTTCGCTATTATTATTTATTAATTATTTCTTGATTGTAATCAAGGGCGGACCTACCTAGGAGGAAGTGGTGTCACATGACACCACTCACTTACCAAAAAATTTTAGTTGCTATATTACTTATTTAGGGTATATTTGGTTCACAAAATGAAATAGGGTGGTAATGAAATAACCATTCCGTGGGAATATAATAAAGGAAGAATAGTTATTATGTAGTTTGGTTCATGAGAATAAAATAAGACAGGAATTGCTATTATGACTTATTATAATGTTTGGTTAGCAGCAATAGTTTTAGAAATAACAAAAATGCCCTTTATTATGTTATTTTTAATCTTTTTTTTAATTTTAAAATATTAAAAATTTATAATTAAATTTTAAAATATAAGATATTAATTCTTAGTTTTTTTTTGTTCAGTCCATTCTAGTATTTTCATATTTTTTTCCTTTTCTTTCTTCTCACCAACTGACCATCGGAGATGTGGTCGGTGTAATGTGGCTGATTTAATGAAGCTTCGATGTGGCATTCCTTGTGGCTGGATTTGGTTGCTGGAGCACTAGATCGACACTTCCCATAGTTGGACATGGTGAGGAACACCAATCGATGCTTCCCATAGTCAACATCGATGTCGTTGTTGCCTTCCATTGAGGGACTTTAGAGAGAAAGAGAAAGTTAGAAGATGGGTAAAGAGAAAGAAATGTGAAAAATGAAGAAAATGTATATTATATGTGATGAAAATTTTTAAGTTTATTTTAGGGTAATTTTGTCTAACAAAATTTTTGACCTATTCCCCTATCCTTGGAGTAGCCATTACCAAGATCTTCCTTGGTAATGGTAATGGCTATTCAAGTTTCTTCCAGAATAGTCATTCTAAGGAATAATCATTATTGTGCAGCAAACAAGTTATTAGAGGGAACATAAGAATGGTGGAGGAATGGTTACTCTATTCTCCAACCAAACACACTAAAGTTTTATATAATTAATATACTAATGAACTCATTTTTTTTACAATTTTGTAAGGAGTGGGGTCAAAGATTCAAATTCAAAATAAATTTATTAAAAAGTAATTTATATATAATATTTAAATAGTAAATGGAAAGACAAAAAAATTTTCTTCTATAATTTAATATTTTATTAAAAAAGTTAAAACTTAAATTACTCTCACTGTTTAAAAATTCAAGTCCTACTTTTGAGACCTACAATGACGCTTCCTCTTCTTGATCTTTGGTTGTGTTTTTTGCTCTCCCAAAACAACTCATTTAGGCTTTAATTGTAAGTAATTTCAATCCAAATTAAGTTTTGAAATACTTCATGTTTAAATATTTTTTGATTAATTTGATAGTTTGGGACCCAAACAAAATCTAGCTAATTGAAAGTAGTATTGCATGTCAAATAAGATCTTAAAATTATGAGTCTTTCTTTCTTTGATTTATTTAGTAGATATATTGTTTGATTTTTTTATTTAATTTTATGTGATTTGTGGATACTTTTGATTAATGTATAGAAATTTGTCAAATTGTTAGTTATTGAACCTGATAATTTGCTATGCAAGATCATATTTTATATAATTTTAACATTTTAGTTTATGCTAATGAGAAATAAGTTGTAATTTTTAATAAGTTTTTGGATAAATAAGTCATGAAAATATATTTTAAAACACAAGAAATTATCTCACAAGAATCAGATCATGGGCAACAATATAATTATACTAATGACGGTACTTAATAATCTTCTAAGTAAAATCATGTTAAATTTGATCTAAGTACTCTCTTAGTAGATTTTGAATTGAGAAAAAAAATTAATTATTATTATTATTTTAGCTATGACACTATTTAGAAAAATTTTTGAGTCTGCCCTTGATTGTAATTAGTGTGATCTTTGCTCATCAATGGTGATTTTGAAGTGTACCCATTCATTTTCTTGGAGAATTTTACTATGTTAAATGAAAATAGAAACTTTTCTATGTTTCTTTTTTCTTGCTTTGCTTGGATGTAGATATTAGAGCTTCCCAATTAATTGCTTTATTGTTGATTCTTTTGGTCTGGTTTCTCAGATTTAAGTTTCAGGAAATAACCTCAATATCTAAGAAAAATGGGTAGCTGGCTATTAACAGTGAATTTTAACGTATAAAGTAACAGGAGATGTTATGCACTCATTATCATTTGTTTATCACAGGAATGAGGTTTAGAATTATAACATCCAGGGTTGTTTAGCTAACTAGTTGCATAAGCAATTCTCTAAGTACGTGCACAAAGCAAATGAATTTAGCATTTGAGATGATAATTGTACGCATTCATCCAAAAATGGAGGTTTTATTGGTGCAGGTAATTCCATGTCTTTATCTCTTAGCATTTGAAGCATTTTAGTCATGTTGTGACGCAAACTGGGTTTTGCTTGAGTACAGGGCAGACATATTTGGATGTCTCTCTTTTTTTTTTGTTCAACATCCTCAATATCCAAGCTTTCATCTATGATTTTTGATGTGTTGGATTGGAAGTGCTTCCATGCTTGGTGGGTGAAGGTAAGAACAGGAAAGTTTCTTAAATAAAAGAAGGAATATATCAATAAACAGATGGATAAATTTGTAAAGTTTCTCAAATATTAGGAGAGGAGTTTTGTAAAGGGGGAGGGGGGACACTAAGTTAACAGAGAAGAGAAATATTAGCTTTCGCCGTTTGAGGATTTCGAGGGATTTGTATTCCAACTCTAATACCAACAACCTATAGGATTTGTCACTTTCCCATTCTGTATATTCCTTCTGTATTTATAAAACAGAAACATATACAAGCAGCAGGTCCAGCTCATATAATCACGAGAGTAATAGATGATAGCTAAGGCCTAATGGCCCGGATGGGCGGCTGAGGCAGTTCCTCCTCTTATCTTTCTTAAATTTCCAAGGTAACCAACAAATCGTACAGAACCAAGCCACACAAAAAAGGGTCACGAGAATGGATAGAGTATGATCACAAGGCGATGAAAGAATTGACAGACAAACAGTTAGGGTTACTGATAGGCTAACGTGTATGGTTTCTTTCATCTTCTCTGTTGTTTTAGTTTGTGCCTGTTGGGGACCAGAATCACAAAAACCTAATACAAACATGTGAGTGCACATGTCAGGTTGCCCTCTTTTCATTTTCACTTTTAACACTTCACATGGATGGGCAATCAAATCAATGAAGCCATGGGAATGTTCCAGCCCCTAGCTTTAACAATCAAATTACCACTTTAACCTTTCATTGAATCTAGAAGAAAAAACTAATCACTCTTTATTGTCCAAAAATTTATCGGCTTTGCTCAAGGTTTTCAGCATGACAAAAGGTTTCTTTTCTTTTTCCCCTTTAGTGTGACTATAAGGTTTATAATGGAGTCTTAGGATTTTGTTGTGAATTTTCATCTTTCCTTGTTTGATCTAACGTATAAACAAGTATTCCAATATACGGTATATGGATGTATATAACTATAGAAAGACAGAGGTGTACTTGTCCTTTTGGAACGCTGAAGAGGTTGGAGTCATGTGCTGCTGTCTCAAACTGTAGCATTCGGACCCCTTTCATGAATAAGACACACAAAAAATTCTCCAAATCTTCAACCATGGTTTCCAACTACTTATAAATACCTCCTCAAGGGCCTAACGGCCTTAATTGCAGCAACAAATTCTCTCTGGGCAGTTGCTTCTCTCTCTCGGTTCAGTATAGCAGTCGCCGTACTCTTTTAAAGCAATGACAGGGAAGCTTACTATTGTGATGTTCTTTCTTGTTATCATGCTACTTTTACTAGCACAGAACAATGTGAGTTTCTCTCCTCCTATCCAGTGCTTTTTCTTTTACCAGGCCACAAGTTACTACATTTTTTCTTTCTTGCTCATCTTCTAACTCTTCTTTTTTTTCGACCATTAATTTTACACTTAAGTAATTAGTGCAGTTATTTTAATTCTTCCCCATCTAACCCTTTTTATTTTTAACCACAAATTAATTTGTCCACAGAAAAAGCAAAAAAATAATTTATCATCTGCACTTAGGGATTATTAGCTGCTTTGTAATTCTAATTGTAATTCATTATAAGTTGTTCGTTGTCATATGAAAAGAAAACATAGAAAAGAACTCTTGGATTATATGTAGATTTTTGCATTCTTGCCTTCCAAAAAGGGTGCATAGAAATATAATTGAAGTGTGATCCTATTTTAATTTTATAACTGAATGATATAAATCCCCAGGCTAGCAGCATTAAAGAGGCACCTGCTCCACAGCCCCAGCCACCTAGCAACTTCACAACGGTGACATATAATATTTGCAAGAGATACGCCACCTTGTTTTCTATTTCTTTCCTTATGTCCTCAAATGCTAATCATTTTCTTTTGGATTTCAGCATGGAATCACTCAAGGCAGCCTTCATCCCCAAGGTAAAAAACACAAGCTCACCGAGTCTTTATAAAATATAGTAATGGAATTTACGAGAGTAGTACTGTGGGTAATTTCGATATGTTTGGGTTGCAATGCAATGCAGAGTGCGGCCCTCGCTGCACTTTTAGATGTTCAAAGACACAATACAGAAAGCCATGCCTGTTCTTCTGCCGGAAGTGCTGCGCCAAGTGCTTGTGTGTGCCACCAGGGACTTACGGAAACAAGCAAGTCTGCCCTTGCTACAACAATTGGAAGACCAAGAGAGGAGGACCCAAGTGCCCTTAATTCAAGAGACCAGTTGTCTGGAGGCCCTTCGCTATTTGACTTCCGCTTCTACCTACCCATATCACGTTCAATTTCCTTTATTTCTTTTGTCTGCTGATGCTGTGAACAATTCCTGTGTCGATCGTGTGTAATCAAGCTGATTCTTCATGCAGCTTCAACATTTACCTTTTCAAAAGTTAATTTGTAAATATATTTATTTTGTTATGACCAATATATTCATGTTTCTTCGCGCTCCATTTCCTATGTGGAAGGAAATTGGGTTTGTCTAATATTAGCCTTCAGTTAAAGAGTAAGGTAGAAGTTTGAATTTGTTTATTCTAGTATTTTAATTTGGTGAATTTAGTTCTCTGCCACAATTTTAATAAATTTAGTTTTTGTAGTTTTATTAAAAATCATTTTAAGACAACTGATTTAGTATTTTTTTTTTTTTAAATTGGATGATTTGGCATTTTAGACTTGTAGCCGTCTAAGGACTCTCCAAGAAGTATCACAACTGACCTTATAGTATCAACACAACCTGCAAAATCATTGTCAACATATGCAATTGGCTTCAAGGGAGAATTGGAAGAGAAGAGAATTCCTTGTCATGGGACCTACCTTAAGATACCTTAGAATTCTGACGCTGCGTGCTTGGCTTATTCAAATTGAGCTAATGTTTGAAATGAGTATGCAATATCGTGCCCAGTAAAAGTCAAATAAAGCAATCTCCCAATTTACCACCTGCATTTGCTTGCATCTATTAATTGCTCCTGATCTGAATCTGTCTTGATGATCTTTTGATTATAATCCACAGGAGTAGAAATTGGTTTAGCACTTAGCAAGCCATATTCATTAAGCAAGTCTAATGCATATATATTTCCTCTGCCAAATAAAAACTTATTGTTTTGACCTTGCAATTATAAGACCTAAGAAGTACTATGGAACTCCTAGGTCCTTAAGCTTGATATTAGATTTCAAATATTGCTTAACATTTGCTTTGAATGATGTTTCTAAACTAGAAATGACTATATATCATCAACATACACAAGTAATATAACAAACCCCATCTTAGTGTGTTTGGTGAATATTAATAGTCTGATTTTGATTGTCAAAAGCAAAATTGTAACAAGCACTTGATGAATTTAGAATTCCATTGTCTTGAGGATTGTAATTTAAGACCATACAATGACTTGTGAAGCTTGCAAATTAGTTGCTTTGACTTGTCATGATACTCCCCCTTAACAACATAACCCTGTGGGAGATCCATAAATACCTCTTAATGAAATCACCATGAAAGAGGGCATTGTTGATGTCTAGTTATGACAAATGCCATCCCTTTGATGCTACCAAAGTTGAAAAAACCTTACAATAGTCTGCTTTGCCATAATACTAAATGTCTGTTAAAAATCAAAAACATTCTCTTTGATTGTAGCCCTTGGCAACAAGTCTTGCCTTCTATCTTCCAACAATGCTGTCAGCAAGAAGCTTGATCTTGTAGACCCATTTATAGCCAATGGAATGAGAACTAGGTGGTGTTGTGAAATGGATGTAAAACCAAAACTTTGAGAGACGAAAAAAAAACTTTTTTGAGAAAAAAGCTAAAACCTGAGAAAAGAGAATGAAAATTGATTTCTTTTTTAAATAGGCCCCATGCATAAGATGTTTTTGACAATAGACTTTTTTTTAAATTTTAACTGTTTTTAGCCAAGAGAATTAAAATTTAGACAAATTTACCCTTAATGAAATCGATCCATTTATTTGGCTCCGCACCTCAACCTGAAGCCTATTAACAGGTCAAGTATGTTTATATCTACACTTCAAATCAACTCATATTCTTTGAGCTTTCCTTTTCAAACTATTCATCTCTGAAGTATTCCTTACCAGAAAAAAAAACATTAAAGCATTTTAGAGTAGTTTTTGATATACGAAGAAAACCTTTGAGCGTTTTGAGTATTTTTAAGCATTTTGAAATGATTTTTGATATATGAACAAAAACTTTGAACATTTTGAGCATTCTTTGTCAAGTAGGTATATTCGTTAATTATGTTGTAAAATGCAATATGGTGTATCATTTGAAGTTGTTGATCTTGTTAAATGAAATTCAATAATTTTGGTGATTTTTGGGCATTACGTGACTAATTTTTAAGCATTGCGTGACTTACTTTGTACATTGCGTGACTGACTTTGGGCACTGTGTGACTTATTTTTAGGTATTACGTGACTAGTTGGTAAGCATTGCATGACTTGTTAGTAAGCCATTGCATGACTTGTTAGTAAGCCATTGCATGATTTGTTAGTACACTATTGCGTGACTAGTTAATAAGCCATAGTGTAACTAGTTAGTAAGGTATTGTGTGACTTAGGCATTACTTAAAAATCAATCACGCAATGCCTAAAAACTAGTCACACACTAATTAAGTCACACAATGCTTAAAAATCAGTCTCGTAATACTTAAAACCTAGTCTAATCAATTTCAACTTCTCAACTTTGGGGTTCTATGGTTCTATGAATAAATCAATAAACTCAAGAACCTAAAACATGTCTTTTTTTTTTTTGCTAAGCCATGAAATTGTGCATTTCATAAAAGATAAGTTACAAAACTCTATAATCTTCCAAATCAAGACAAAATATATCTTTATCGGGAGGGTTTTGCTCACTTCTTTTATGTAAAAACAAAATATACTCCATTTACAAAATATTTCCTTAATAATTTCAACTTAAAATCTCAAAGAAACATGCTTAACAATCATCCCAATCTTAAACACAACAGAATCGTGAACCACCATAAAACCCATCAAACATGCTTTAGCTGTCCCTTCTCCCTGAGCTTTGAAAACATCATCAAAAAGCATCCAGTTACCACATTCATCATGCTACCTGGAATCATCATAGAAGAGCAAAATTGCTATTTATCACCTTTGAAAACCCCAAGATCCACAATCCAAAAATAAAATAAAATAAAATAAAAAAGAACTTGATATCATCTCTGCTCTTTAAATAGCGAGATAGACAGTATTTGATCAAAGAAAGAAATCGAGATTTAATTTTAAAATTTTTGTCTGAATGGTGGGATAGAGAAAACTGAAACCATTTTAATTGTCTGGAATTGTTTAAAGGGTATTGTTGTCAAGTCAGATCAAAAATTAATTAAAAATAATTAAAATTATAAAAAAATATTTTTAAATTGAACTTACGAAAAAGGTTATTTCTCACAAATTTTTTATGAAAATACTTAACAGTAAAAAGATGCATAACCCAACATTTTCTTCATGCAATTCCATTTTTGTAGTATCGAGTTATATGAGAAAGAAAAGACAAGAAAATAAACATAAAGGACAGGTGGATAGACAATGACAGCTAGGTGAGCAATTCCAAGTTTATTACTTTGTACTGGAAATACAATTAGACCTTAACACGTGGAAGCTGCCATAGCATAGCAACTAATAGAAAAGATAACAACAAGGAATAGTAAAATGGAAAATTAAAGATAAAGGAAATTGACATAGTAAGCAGGTCATGTGATAGCAATCACGTGACTTCATCTTCCTTAACCTAGAATTATTTTGGCGCGGGACTCCATTACTAAGTAGTATTCAGAAAACTTAGTGCAAAGGTAGAAACCATTCTCAAAACACTTGCTTGGTTTCTATTTTGCTGACTCCCAACCTTGATTTCAGATAAGCAAATTTATCTTTGCTTAAGCCCTTTGTAAAGATGTTAGGAAGTTATAGTGTTTCATAGTGATTTTTCCATTCTGCACTACTTTTTTGATGAAGTGGAATTTGACTCGAATATGCTATGATCTTTCATGTTGCACAGGATTTTTAGCAATGGATATTGTTGATTTATTATCAAGCCACAAAATAGTTCTTTCTTTCTATTTAAACCCCAAATCACCAAGAATTTCCTTAGCCACAGGGCGTGATTTGCAGTAGAAGCTTCAACGATGTATTTGGCCTCAGTAGAAGACTAAGCAACCGCTTTCTGTTTCATGGAATTCCAAGAAAAAATAGCACTTCCAAATGAGAAACAAAAACCACTTGTACTTTTGGAATCATCAAGGCATCTTGCCCAGTCAATATTGCAGTAGCCAACCAGTTCTTTGCTTTCATTTTTACTGAATTTGAGACCATAACGAATGGTACATTTTATATACCTAAACAACCTTTTTGCAGCAAAAGAGTGAATCTTGGAAGGTGCTTGCATATATCTCGAGAGTACACATGCAGAATACATAATGTCAGGCATAGAAGCTGTTAAATATAACAAACTTCCAATTAAACTTCTATAGATTGAGCTTATAGTAGCAAGAGCTTGATCATTTTTGCAGAATTTATCACCTGATACCAATGATGTATCAACCATTTTACAAGCTTCCATATTAAACATTTTCAAAAGTTCCTTAGCATATTTACTTTGATGAATGTAAATATACTTAGGAGATTGTATAAATTCCATACCAAGAAAATAGCTCATCTCCCCTAAATCTATCATATTGAATTCAAGTTTCATTTGCATCTTGAAATCATTCAAAACATAACTGTTTGGCCCCATTACTAGAAGGTCATCAACATTAAAAGAGACTATAAGAGTTACAAAGCCATTTGTGTTCTTCACATACAAAGCAAGATCAAAGATTGTATCAAACTATCTTTAAACAGTAAGGCACAATGGTTTTCTACTAATTGCCCAACACTACATAAGTTTTGTGTTACCTCATGAACATAATATACCTCTGATATGAACTTTGTACTAGTTAAAGTCTCCACTGTTAAAGTTCCTGAGCCAATAATCTTCAGATAAAGACCATTGCCAATCTCCACTCTTGCTTTGAAGTTTCTATCCAAGGTAATAGAGATTTGATCATCTCCTATCATGTGATTGGAACAACCACTGTCTACTAACCATACATTTTTTTTTGGAACAACAGTGGTCTTAGCCATAAATAGATGTTCATTAGCTGCTTCAGTATGCTTAGCTACAGCCATCTTTTCATTTGTGTGTGCACCCTTAGCTTTACACTCCTTTTTCACATGTCCTAGTTAGTTATAGGACCTACACTTGACGTTAGGCTTGCACCAATAGAACTTAGGAGTATAAGTTCTTTTGTTCCAATATTGGCAAGAAGGATATTTTTGACCCTATTTACCTTGTTTCCCATCTACATATTTCTTTTCTTTATCTTTCTTGTCTCTTGTGACCTTTTTTGAGCTTCTATTATTGACTCTAAGATCCTTAGTTTTAGCTATCAAAGCATTCTCCACCAAGTTTTCATGCATGATAGAACTTCTTTATTCTTGGGCTTGCAAGGCTTCACAAGCTTAGTTACTGTGTACTGAGACAAGTTTTTTAAGTCTTTCAGAAAGGAGATTTTGGCTTTAAATTTCTCTAGTAGACTCATAAGTACATTATTTACTATTCTTTTTTCTGTTAAGTTTTTTCCCAAAAGCCTAAGTTGATTAGCAACCTTCATTACCTTGTATGAAAATACCTTGATACTTTATTTTCCTTCATTTTCAATATTTCAAACTCCCTTAATAGAGTAAGTACTTGTATTTACTGAGTCTTCTTACTACCTTGGAACTGTACTGTCAACTTGTCCCAAGCCTCTTTGAGTGATTTACAAGTCATGATTCTTATGAAGATTGAATTAGACACGGCTGCGTGGATACAAGAGAGAACATTGTATCTTTTTGCCATTTTCTCACTATGTTGCTTTAGGTAAGCCATGGTAGGATTTGTTAGACTCAAATAAGGAGGCTTTCCCTCAATTTTTATACCTCCCACAAATTGAAAGCTTTGAGAAAAGCTTTCATTTTTACTGTCTATATAGCACAGTTTTCTCTAGAGAAGATTGGTGATATAGGAATGTTGAAACTTGTAGACACCATTAAAGCTAGATAAGTTGCAGATAATGAAGAAAAAGAACAAAAGAACAAATCTTTGAAAGATACTGGATTTTTCTTAGAAAAAACATAAAAAAGAGCTAAGGTCTTGTAAGATCCTTTTACATCTTTCATACCATTTTGTGAAATGTATCTAAAACCAAAACTTTGAGAAAAGAAAAAAAATACTTTTTTGAGAGAGAAGCTAAAACCAGAGGAGAGAGAATGAAAATAGTAAAATGGTGCAGAACCTAACATTTTCTTCATGCAATTACCTTTTTGTAGAATCGGGTTGTATGAGAGAGAAAAGATAAGAAAATAAACATAAAGGACAGATATACAAACATTGATAGCTGGGTGAGCAATGCTAGGTCTAGTACCTTGTTCTAGAAATACAACGAGGCCTTAACATCTGGAAGCTACTATAGCATTATAACCAACATAAAAGATAACAAGAAGGAATAATAAAATGGAAAATTAAAGATAAAGAAAATTGACATAGTAAGTAGGTCACATGATGGCAATCACGTGACTTCTTTTTCCTTAACCTAGAATTGTTTTGGCACGGGATTCCATTGCCGAGTAGTATTCAAAAAACTCAGTGCAAAGATAGAAACCATTCTCAACAAGTGGAAGAGGCATTATTGTCCAAGTGCCATAGGTTTCCACAGCACCTAATTCTAGTTACATATATAGCTTTATATATAGAGCATACTTGATAGCTTGATGGTATGTTTAAGGTTCAAGAATGAATGTATTAAAAGCCTCATAGGATGGTGAAAGTTTTTGAGAAAAGATAAATTAAGTGATAAGATAGGCAGTTACTAGGTTAGATGTAAGACAAGTAATAACAATGTTTGTCTGAGTGTTACAAGAAGGTAAATTGTACTGATCAGCTTCCAAATATTTGGGAGGATGTGTATACCTATTACCCTTCCTAGGAAGAATAAGCTGGGCAAGATTAGAAGTAGAATTAATAGCAGTAGAAAGGGGATGGGCAAAATAATCTTAAAAAATATCAAATATAATAGAATTTGGATTTTCATTGTTTAGAGCAAGATTTTCTTTAAAAACATGAAATGGTGTTTGAGAGACTTCATATTAATAGAAGAATTATGAAGATTTGGATTGGTAAAAACATTAAAATAAAAAATTGGAGGCAAGGCTATTAGACAAGGGTGAAATAATGATAAGAATATTAGCATCATAAGTATTTGTGGGTGTCATTTGTTGAAAAGGAAATCCATTTTCATGAAAAATGGCATCCCTAGATATAAAACACTAGTGAGTATGTAGATCTTATAATTCGTAACCTTTCATTCCTACTTAGATAGCCAATGAACACGTATTAATTAATTTTAAGTTGGAATTTCTTTCTATTTTGTAACAAAGTTGAAGCAAAACAAAGAGAACCAAATAATCTAAGATGAGAGGACGTAGGTAGTTTATGAAATAACATTTCAAAAGGAGTTTTATGCTTAATAATAGGTGTAGGAACTCTGTTTATAAGATGAGCAACTATTAACACAACATGACCCAAAATTTAATTGGTAAATGAGAATGAAACAGGAGAGACCTAGTTACAACAAGTAAATGTAGGTGTTTTCTTTCTACAATGCCCATTTCTTGAGGTGTATCAACAGATGATGAATTATATCATTGGATGAATAAAACTTAGAAAGATGGAATTATAGGCCATTATTTGACCTAAGGGCTTTAATTTTGATAGAAAACTAAGAATCATTTTGCAAAATGAAAGAATGATGGAAGAAACATTAGATTTGGATTTCAGTAAATAAGTCCATGTAAACCTAGTAAAGTCATAAAAAATGGTAAGAAAATAATGAAATCCATCAAGTGAAGGCATTGAATTGGACTTTACACATTAATATGAATCATATCAAAAGTTGCATTTGTAGATTGAACATGAATTGAAAAAGACAATCTTTACGGCTTTGCCAATGGACAAACAAATCAAGACAAATTTTAATTACAAACTACATCAGAACATATTTGTTGAACATGTTTTTTTTTTTTTCCTAAGGGTACAAGTCCTAATGTATAATGCCACACATCAAACTTGCTAGGCAATGCGTTCCAAGTATTAACAGAAGCTTTAAAAAAAAAAAAAGGAACAAATTGATTAACATAAAATTGTCTAAAGTTTACGTTCGTCCAAGGTCCATTGCATGAAGTACAAACCTGCTTGTAATTTAGCAAGCCCAATCATTGCCCATGTATTGATGTCCTAGATAAAGCAATGTGTATCAATGAAGAATAGGCAATACTTTCGAGACTCTGTAAGCTTAGTAACAGATATCAAATTGAATTGGAAAAATAGGACATACAACACATTCTTTATAGTTTTTTTTTTTTTTGAAGTTAGAAATTCTCATTGGGCCTAGCTACCCTGTTAAAGTTTTATTAAATAAGGAAAATAAATACATGAAGGAGAGGGATATAAACTTGACCTCCAGAATTACATAAGAGATGAGAGAAAGAAGACAAAAAGGGTACTACTTTCCTTGCATAAATTTTATGATTACACAAGATAAGTAATACCATTTTAATACAAAAGCTAAAGCCCAAAAAAAAAAAAATCCTAGTCGAGAAATTGCTTTCCTTGCATATTTATCACAAATGCAAGGGAAAGATAATATTTCTCTATTACAAGAAGCTAAAAACACAAAATAAATAACGAGTATTACTTAAAGAAGATTTAATCTATCTAATTTTAATATACCTCTCAGGGTACCTTTTGCAATATGAAACACTCGAAATCCTGCATGTGAATGACCTTGATTGGAGAGAAAATCTGCTGCATGATTCCTTTCTTTGTGGATGCGAGTGATTCTATAATCAAAACCTTTAAAGCATTTCCAGCACATTCTATATGGTTAATAATGGTGAGCCTCTCATTGTTCCTATATTTGATACTAATGCCTTGGCATTGTTTTGCATTTGCACAAACATATGATGAATTGCCCTTGAATAATATGGTCTGAAGCTTGTGTCTATGATCCAAGAATTGTGATTAATCATGCATGTGTCATGATGGAATTTATTGACAGAATAATCATTAAAAATTGAAAGGCATATAAGATAAAAAAATTATACCCAAAATAGCAGAATTGACAATTATAGGAGTGGACTACAGAGGAGTTATTGCAGTTGTATTATTTTCAGCATCAGGTTTATGCTCATTGATAAGGGCCATCAATCTTTGAAGTTACTTCTTTGTAAGTGATACTTAAAGTTTCAATTAAAAATTGTTAATATTTTTAATAAATTATAAAAAAATTAATGTTTAAAACCATAAATTATAATAAAAAATATTTTTATCTTTTTATTATTTATTTCTTTGTTCTTTTAAAGCTATTTTTGTCAACTAAACAGTGTAATAAGTTAGAATTTCAATTCTATTCTATGAACCAAACTACATATAGTAACTATTTCTATAATATCCTATTTTCACAAAATAAATATTCTATTCCTGTTATATTTTATTTTGAAAACCAAATGTGCTATCAGTTATTTTTTTGACATAATACTCAAATAAATCTGTAATTATTCAAGAAAATTTAAATAAACTTACACTTTTATTGCGTTCAATCAAATGTTTATATTTTTATTATTGTCAATCAAAAATCTGTAATTATTCAAGAAAATTTAAATAAACTTACACTTTTATTGCGTTCAATCAAATTTTTATATTTTTATTATTGTCAATCAAACTCTTATATTTATATTTTGTCAAATAAGCCTATATGACAAATGATTATCTAATTGTTAGTAGACAAAATATCATTTGTCATATTATCCACGTCACACTGATATGGTGTTAATGTAGAGAGTAAAAAATATCATATAATCATCTTACAAATTAATATATCATGTCATCATCAATATGATATGTTAATATGTCACATCATCATCAAATTAGATATATAATATGTGACATTAACGTCACATGATATAAATAATAAATTATATTTTAACTAAGTTAATTATTAATAATAAAAACTTATTTTGACTCAAAATAAAAATATAATAATTTATTTAAATTTTTTTAAATATTATAATTTTTGTCTAAATGAGTGTCT